TCTCAGCTGGCTTTTATCTCTTAAGGGAGGGGCCATTACCTTGCAGCCTTACTCCCGAGTCGCCTGTGCTGCTGCAGCTGTTCTTTCCTTCAAGCAGCCCTGGGCACAGGCTCCTCAGGCTCCTCTTCCTCACTGCTGCCAGCCTCCACAATCTCCATAGGCAGAACTCCACTCCCTGATGGTCCTGGCCCCATCCCTGCATCCCACGCAGGCCCCTCATCTGAGTCCTCGCTCTCCGAGACCTCATCCGTCCTCACCTGCTGCCGGCGAACCACAACACCATGCTAGATCCCTCTTTATACACTGTGTTCATGATACTTGTTCACGATTCAGATTCGGTGAATCTGCACTTATGAACGGAGGCGAATGTACGTGTCCCAGGATAATTGGAGGCTCCAATTTGGGTCTGTAATTGAGAACAGAGGTTTGCTCTTGCGAGCTTTTGGACTCATGCCGGAAACCATCCTCAGGGAACTTCTGTCTAGCAGAGTGTGTGCTGTTCACTGTGTGTCGTGTTTATAATGCCAATTGTATGTAGTTTTGCAGATTTTGATTGGGGTGTGTTGAGGGCTGGCTTTTAAGTCATCGGCTGTCGTTTGCTTGTGCTGTTGCGCCTTCGCCTTCTTAGTACTTGATAGGCTGGTTGTAAATCAACACTCCTTTGGACTGACAAGGGGGCCTGGTTCCAGGCTTCAATCACTTCCCTGGCTGTTTTTGTTCCTGCTCGTCCAACAGCCTTAGTTGCTGGCTGTTTTTAAGCCTGTTCATCCAACAATCTTGGTAGCTGGCTGCTTTTGTTCTTGCTCGTCCAACAATCTTAATAGCTGGCTGTTTTTAATGCCTGCTCATCCAACAATCTTAATAGCTGAGCAGGTTGCCCAATGCCCAAAATGCGGTCAGTTGACTGGAGGAGATGCCAGCCGTCCGAACTGGGTTAGAAGTATCTTTTGCATTGGGGATCCACCAAAAGTTCCCACCCGTTTTTAAGCAGCTGTTCGTAGTCAGGGGCTACTTGATTTACAGTGGCGTAGCAATTTGGCAACTTAGTTGTGGAACTTCAACTCTTACAGCCTGGACTGGGAGTTGGAAGTCCACAAGTCTCAAAAGTTGCCAGGTTTTGGGAGACACCCCCCCCACCCGCCCTAATAATATCAGGGCAGGAACGCTTTGATTTCAGTAGGAAAGAGAGTTCTTTCACTCCAAATTAAGAACCTTGCCGCTGGCCGAACAGCCTCTTGAAACTGGCGGGCCACCCGTACAGCTTCTCTCATTTCCACTAGGACTGCGAAGATCCGAACCCCCTCATCCGAGCCCTGGCCGTCCGCACGATGGGCTGCATTCGTGTCGACAAGATCACCGAGTATCTTTGCGAGCCGTTGCGGAAGTGCCTGAAGGACGAGGACCCCTACGTGCGCAAGACGGCCGCCGTCTGCGTGGCGAAGCTGCACGACATCAATGCCCAGCTGGTGGAGGACCAGGGTTTCCTGGATACTCTGAAAGACCTCATTTCAGACTCCAACCCAATGGTGACTAGCTTTTTTGGGGTGGGGGGTGGGGGCAATGGAGATGCCCTTTCCAGTAAGGTACTAAACTCTTTGGCTGGGGGCCTGTACTGTAATAGGTGGTGAGAAGGTCCTTGGGAGAGGAGGGGAGAGGAGAGGAGGGAGGGGAGAGGACAAGAAAAGAGAGAGGGGAGGGAAGGAGGAAATGAGAGGAGGGGAGGGAAGAAGGAGAGGGAGGAGGGGAGGGTGAGAAGACGAGAGGAGAGGGAGATCAGGGGAGGAGGAGATGAAGAGAGAGGGAGAGGAGGGAGGGGAGAGGATGAGAGGGGAGAAGGAGATGGGGAGGGGAGGGGAGGAGGAGAGAAGTGGAGAAGCAGGGGAAAGAGGCAAGAGGAGGAGCCACAGACTAGGGAATATTCAGATAAGGAATATTATCTGGAATAATAGACCTCCAAAAGGGGACCCTCCCTAGTTGACCGTAAAGGCCAAAAAAAAAGGGGGGGGGAGAGAAAGATGTTCTTGCAGACTTGCAAATTTGATGTCCCTCTCTCCCCTCCCCCCCACTCGCCCTTACAGCCCAAGAAACTATGATAAGCCATCTTTGGTTTTAACTAGGCTTCGTGGAACACGCCGTGTTGCCCAGCGGCCAGAAGTCCGGTTTACAAAGCACGCTCCACCCAAAAACGTATTAGTGACCGTTTGGCTAACTCCCGAGTCTCCGGCCCCGCTTGTGGGTCCTTAAACGAGGACGCCAGTAGCGGTGGTCGCATTTGTGCAGTAGAAGCGACCCGAATCGTGCTCCTACTGTCAACCTGCATTTCCCTTTTCTCCTTCGAAATTTCTGCACCCGCGCCCACTGGAGATAATGGAGTGTGTAGTTTTGTGCCTGGGCTGGGGTGTGTGTGTGTGTGTGTGTGTGTGATAGATGATAGATGATAGATGATAGATAGATAGATAGATAGATAGATAGATAGATGATAGATAGATAGATAGATAGATGATTGATTGATAGATAGATAGATAGATAGATAGATAGATAGATAGATAGATAGATAGATAGATAGACAGACAGATAAATAGATAAATAGATAAATAGATAATAGGTAGGTACGGAGAGAAAGAGATGATAGGTGATAGATCAGGGATTTTCAAACTTGACAGCTTTAAGACTTGTGGACTTCAACTCCCAGAATTCCTCCTTCAGTCATGTCAGCTCAAGAATTCTGGGAGTTGAAGTCCACAAGTCTTAAACTTGCCCAGTTTGAAGACCCCTGCCATAACGGCTCTTTGGTGGGCCAAGCTGGGACTTGGGGTCCCTGGCTTGCGGCCCCCGCTCTATCCCTCCGACAGGGTCAAGAGGCAATTCCTAGATTGTGTGCGTGTGTGTGTGCGTGCGTGCTCAGAAGGCTGTTGTGAATAAACAAAGCAGGTTGTGTTCCTGGGGACGCTTTCCTTTCCCGGAAACGCCTCCGGCAATTGTCTTGTGGCATCCTTGGGTCTTAGCTGCACTAAGACCAGCCACGTAAAGGAATGTCCCCTTGCAAGAATTGGGGGTGTTCCGTGTTCCAGATGGTTCTCTTTTGTTTAGGTGGTTGCCAACGCAGTCGCCGCCCTCTCTGAGATAGCCGAATCCCACCCCAGCAGCAACCTGCTTGACTTGAACCCGCAGTCCATCAACAAGCTGCTGACCGCTCTGAACGAATGCACCGAATGGGGCCAGATCTTCATCTTGGATTGCCTGGCTAATTACATGCCCAAAGATGACCGTGAAGCTCAGAGGTAAAGGAGCTGCAGCTTGGCTCGCTTGGTCGAGTGCATGACAGTGTCAGCTTTGGGAGCCATGTGGAGACCAGATGCTCCCACCACGCTGCCATATTTTGAGCCTGGAAAAGTGAGAGGGGAGAATTTCTTGGAGTGGATCTCGTCAGATACAACAACATTTTTTTTTCTCACTCAAGGTCATGTGGTGTTGTGCATAAGTGAGAGGAAGTCTCAGGTTGGGACGGATGGGGATTGGGCCATGTGATGCGATGATGGGTGCAGGGGATGGATGTGTCGTTTTTACTTATTGCAAGGAACCCCTTTCAGATTCAGGATCCCCTAGTTGTGTCAGTGACTATCCAATTAAAAAGTAACCTTTGAGTTATTGGGCGGAGTGGAGGGTTACTGGAACACTGACAGACAGAGGATCCTACAAAGGGCCTATTCCTTGTTTTGCGTGCAACAATTGGAGCTCTTAAAATTCACACCTTTTTAATCACCGATGGTAATCGAGGAGAGGGCTAGAGGAGGAGCTAGCTGTACAAGAAGTAAGCGGGGTAATTGTGCGTGAGATCAGCTTTAGATTGGGCCTTGGCCCCGCCCGCTCTTCGGGGTTGCTCCACCCACTTTTGGGAAAGCTGCTTCACACCGGCCTCTCTTTGAACTCCTGTTACCCGCTTGGCGATGGCTAAACCCACCTTGCAGGGTTGTTGGAGCGGGGGAACTGAGGAGGCAGGAGGGTTAAGTGTCAGTCCTGTTATCAGGGTTCCGCCGATCGCCCGAATTAAATCATGACATTCGAGCCAAGCTTCAAAAAAAAAACTCAAAAAGATTTATTAGGAGCAACGTGCCAGCATTAACGTAAACGAAGCCAACTCTGGCATATGTAATTTACAGTCACTGTCACCCTGTTTTTCCTCCTCCCACACTGGGTGTATCATAAATCAGATTCTCCAACAAGTTCAAGGGCTGGGTGTCATCAATCACATTCCCCAATGAAGGATTTGGGGTGTCATCCATCACATTCTCCAGTGAAGGGTTTTTGAGGGCAGAAGATGCGGTATCCTCTACAATCTTTTTAAGAGAAGGGTGGAATATCCTTCTGGTTTTACACTGCCGTGCTGCCCCTTCGGATTCTCTCCCCCCCTCTGTTTATGGCAACTTGAAAACAGGCATAGGAATGCTTTACGAGTTGACACCTGTCTCAACTTGAACCTTCAAGTAAGAACGATCTGGGACTCCCCATCTGTCGAGAAAGGTATCGTTTACTAAAGGTCAAGTGAACAACAGCCAAGCCAAGCCAGAACTGAGATTCGTGCGCTGAGTCACAAGGGACTCCTGACCTTCCCTTCCTTTTTCAGCATCTGTGAGCGGGTGACTCCCAGGTTGTCCCACGCCAACTCAGCCGTGGTCCTTTCCGCCGTGAAGGTGTTGATGAAGTTCACGGAGATGCTGTCCAAAGATCTAGATTATTACGGGACTTTGCTGAAGAAGCTGGCTCCCCCTCTGGTCACTCTGCTCTCGGCGGAACCGGAACTGCAGTACGTGGCCCTTCGTAACATCAATTTGATTGTGCAAAAAAGGTGAGTTTCCTCTTGCACACACCTGGCACTTCATGGCTATTGCAAAACAGGTCGTAAAATTGCATGACTCTTTTACCACGGTCACAAGTTATGGCCAGGATGGGCCCGGCTCCCTTTTGGCCGTAATACAAGGACTATATCTTTATTGGAGGGTTTTGCACAAGATCTGGCAGTGTAGAGAAACTGGCCGTAGGGCTAAGCCACACCCAAATGAGGTTTACCCGGTTGTGCGAATGCAGCTAGTAGATGTTGTGGTTTGCTGGTGCAGATGGCAGCGGAATCGGACAGTGGGGAAGAGAGGGGGTCAGTCTGGGAGTCCGGAGAGGACTCAGATGAGGGTCCCGCGTCCGATGCAGAGATGGGCCCGGACCATCTGGCAGTTATGTGTTGACTCCGGAGCCTCGGGAGTCTGGCAGCAGCGAGGAAGAGTAATAAGGGGAGCCTGTTCCCAGGGCACGTATGCGCAGAGCTGCTAGAAGGCGAGAGAGCAGCTGAAACAAAAGTGGCGACTCGGGAGTAAGGCTGGGAGGTGATTGCCCGTCCCATGAGTTATAAAGGTCAGGCAAAGATGACGAAACCTTTGCAGGAAGCAAAGTCGTTTGTTTGGTTCAGATTCATTCTTGAAACTCTTTGTACTTCGGTTGGTTTTCTTTTCTAGTTCATTTAACACTTCTGTTATTGGCAGAACAGAAAGGTGGGTGCTTATCTTGTGGAACTGTTTGAGATTCATTACCGGCTGGGAATGAAAATAAATCCCAGCGTTGCAATAAAACAAGACTTGTTTTTAAGATAAGCGCGTGCGTAATTACGGTCTCGGAAGCCTTGGTCAGAACAGTAGACTCTGGTTATGCGAATACCACCTGGATAGAAGAACACGGCTGTCCCGTTTCCTTATTTCTTTATTTCTCTACTCTTCAGGCCTGAAATTCTCAAGCACGAGATGAAAGTCTTCTTTGTGAAGTACAACGACCCCATTTACGTCAAGCTGGAGAAGCTGGACATTATGATCCGCCTGGCCTCCCAGGCCAACATTGCACAGGTAACGTTCTTCAAGTGAAACTTCTGCCCACCTGCCTGCCTTGCAGCTCTTCAGATCTGTCAGTGTTCTGACCTAGACCTTCCCAAGATCATGAAACAGACTCCTTGTCCTGATAAAACCCCTTTTATTTAGGTTAAAGGGAATTCCTCTCCAGCAAAGTCCCGGCAAACAGTCAAGAAAGTTCACAACTACAGACCTTTATCAGGCTTGGAGAGTTGATATCTTCCAAACGCCACACTGTAGCAGCAATTACTTGCCAAGGAGTCAGGGACAGATCTTCACCCTAATGAATTGAACAAATTGTCTCCTGCAAAGCCCAACTCCCCCTTTGCTCCTTTTTATTCCCCATGGGAGGGGCCATTCAACCGTCCACCTGTGGCTTTACTCTCAAGTTGGCCCTTGTTCTTCAGCTGTTCCCTTCTTCTGGCAGCTCTGTGCATGCGCATATCGGGAACAGGCTCCAGCTGTTCTTCTTCCCCACTGATCTCTGACTCCGAAGGCAGCTGATAACTGTCGGACGGCCTCTCTCGGTTCCTTTGCAGGTGCTCGCTGAGTTGAAGGAATACGCAACCGAAGTGGATGTGGATTTTGTCAGGAAAGCTGTCCGGGCTATCGGCCGATGCGCCATTAAGGTTGAGGTGAGGGCCTGGCAAGAAAAAGAACATGCCGCTGAATAATGAATCACAATTGAAGGGTCCTTTTTTGGTGGCCTTGGTGCTCGGTTGTTTTCTTGCAGACGTTTCGTGGCCCAACTAGGTAACATCATCAGTGCTAGAAGGGAGAGAGATTTGGGGAGAGGAGGAGAAGGAAGTAAGGAAGGAAAGGGAAGGGAAGGGAAGGGAGGAAGGAACATCCCCAGCAAAATTCTCGCGGCAGGATAGCACGGATTTTCCCTCGCTTTCCTCTTCCCGTTGACGATCGGAGCCTCGGCCAACTTCTTGGCTGACCCAGGCTGGTTTTTTTCTTCTTTTTTTCTTTTCCTTTCCTCTTTTTCCCTTTTTCAGCAATCCGCCGAGCGCTGTGTGAGCACGTTGCTGGATCTTATCCAGACCAAGGTCAACTACGTGGTGCAGGAAGCGATTGTGGTTATCAAAGACATTTTCCGCAAGTACCCAAACAAGTAGGAGCATTTTTATTTTTATTTTTTAAGGCTTGAAAAGCAGGCTTTATTTTTAAAGGCACTTTTTTTTAAAAAAAATTTGTATTTCCATTATTACAACTCAAATCATCATAATTTCAACAGCATTTTTGACATCTGTACAAATTCCTGTCTTATAAACCTTAACACATTGCATTTACATTTATCAAACACTGATTAATATCTTTATCCATAATTATTATTCTTACATATCTATCATTGATTTTTTTAAGGTCTCTTACAGATTCATTTTCACGTTTTATTTCTTATTTCTTTTTGTTATCCAATCGTACCATTTGTGCCAAATTAAAAAATATTCAGAGTCTTTTTTCAATTTCAGTGTAAGCATATTCATTTCAGCGCTTTCCATTATTTTTTGTTGTGCTAATTTTTCACTAGGGATGTTGGAAGTTTTCCACACTTGTGCAAAAGCTATTCTGGCGGCTGTTAAAATATGTATTATTAAATATTTTACTTTTGAGGGGGGCGGGGAGGAATTTGGTATTTTATAATTCCTAAGAGAAAGGTTTCAGGTCTGAGTTCAAGTTGATAACCGGTGTTCTCCTGTAGCCAATTTTATTTGGGCACGTTTTAACAGGAGCATATTTGCTTCTTGTGTGAATGCTTACTTGTTGTTTGCCTTTATTCCATGGGATTGTTAGGGATCTTGGTTGGGGGCCTCGGAGAATGCTTATGGTCTTCCCGCTCTTTGCAGGTACGAAAGCGTGATCGCTACCTTGTGTGAGAACCTGGACTCCCTCGACGAACCGGAAGCCAGGGCCGCCATGATCTGGATCGTGGGAGAATATGCCGAGCGCATCGACAACGCGGATGAGCTGTTGGAGAGTTTCTTGGAGGGCTTCCATGATGAAAGCACCCAGGTGCCGGGTCTCAGCGGGTTAGGTGGGGGGGGGGGGGGTTTGGGGGGGGGGGGGGGGGGTGTGTGCCTCAAACAAGCTGGAGTACGGGCAGGCAGACAGACTAATAGATGATGGATGGATGGATGGATGGATGGATGGATGGATGGCATAGATGATAGACGGAGGGATGGATGGATGAGTGGATGGCAGAGAGGTGATAGATTAATGGATGGTGGATGGATGGCATAGATAGATGATAGACGGATGGACGGATGGATGGCATAGATGATACACTAATGAATGGATGGATGGATGGATGGATGGATGACATAGATAATAGATGGACGGATGGATGGATGAGTGGATGGCAGAGAGATGATAGACTAATGGATGGATGGTGGGTGGATGGGTGGCATTGATAGATGATAGACTGATGGATGACATAGATAGATGATAGATAGACTAATGGATGGATGGATGGATGGATGGATGGATGACATAGATAGATGATAGATAGACTAATGGATGGATGGTGGGTGGATGGGTGGCATTGATAGATGATAGATGGATGGATGGATGGATGGGTGGCATAGATAGATGATAGATGGACGGATGGATGGATGAGTGAATGGCATAGAGAGATGATAGACTAATAGATGGATGGTGGGTGAATGAATGGCATAGATAGATGATAGACGAATGGATGGGTGGCTGGCTGGCATAGATAGATGATAGACAGACAGACGGATGGGTGGTTGGGTGGCTGGATGGATGGATGGATGGCATAGATAGATGATAGACTAATAAATGGATGGATGGCAGATGGATGGATGGCATAAATGGATGGATGAGTGAATGGCAGAGAGAGACGATAGACTAAGATGATGGATGGATGGATGGCAGGCATCTATAGATGAGAGACAGACAGACATATAGATAGTAGATAGGTGATAGACTGCTGATGGACAGAAAGACGGATGATAGATAGTAGAGAGGTGACAGAGTGGAAAGCTTGAGGACCGCTGACTTAAGGACATCGGCAGCGAGAAGACCAGTTGTCCGCCAATGGGACAAGGTCTTCCCTCTTGGTCACCTGCGTGGGGGTCCAGCCCCCATCCCCAGTATCTCCTCCCGGGGATCTGCCTTTAGCAAGAAGCCTTCCTTTAACCTCGGATCTGTTTCTTGGCCCGTTCAGGTCCAGCTTCAGCTGCTGACGGCCATTGTGAAGCTCTTTCTGAAGAAGCCCACCGAGACGCAAGAGTTGGTGCAGCAGGTGTTGAGTCTGGCCACGCAGGTAAAGCCCTTCGCCACTCACCCACTGCCAGGGACCCCTTCCTGGCCACCGAAAAACCAGTCCAGAGCCCTCACGGCCCTGTCAGCGCAGGAGAAAAATGAAAAATGTGCCAGAAGTGGGTGGTTTTTTATTTTTTATTTATTTTTTATTTTTTTGGAAAAATACACATAGTCCTTGACTTAAGGCCATTCACGTAACGATCGCTTGAAGTTCCGTTGGACCTGCCTTGGGCCTAAGATTTGAAGCTCCCAAGGTCATAAGGGTGAAAAATGGTCATAAGAGGGGGGAAAACGGTGCTGAGTCCCTTTTACTGGCCGGATGCCCTTCCTGTTGCCAGGGCGGAGTTTTGTTCCGCAGATAAATTCTCATTCTTCCCCGAGAGAGAACTATCTGCTTCTAACTAGGATCGAACTCACAGTTTCCTGATTGCGAGGCCAGAGCGCCACCTCTAGGCCGCCGCTAAATGAACTGTTGTAAATCAGGTGACCCTGGGGATGCTGTCATGTGAAAAATGGTCATAAGTATGAAAAATGGTCATAAGGGTGAAAAAACAGTGCTAAGTCCCTTTTTTCGGGGCAGATGTCACTTCAAACGGTCGCTAAATGAACTGTTGTAAGTCAAGAGCTACCTGTAAATCATTTTTCCCCCTTTTTTCCCCCCAATCTGGTAGGATTCGGATAACCCAGACTTGAGAGACCGGGGCTATATCTACTGGCGCCTTCTCTCCACGGATCCCGTGGCAGCCAAGGAAGTGGTCCTGGCCGAAAAGCCTCTCATATCCGAGGAGACCGACTTGATCGAGCCCACCTTGTTGGATGAGTTGATCTGCTACATCGGCACGTTGGCCTCGGTCTACCACAAGCCCCCCAGTGCGTTTGTGGAGGGGAGCAGGGGCATTGTCCAGAAAAGCCTCCCACCCCGCACAGGCTCGTAAGTCGGAACTCCGAAATCCTCACTTCACTGGTGGGATTCCAATTTTTTTTTTACTACCGGTTCTGTGGGCGTGGCTTGGTGGGATGTGGCTCGGTAGGGCATGGCAGGGAAGGATATTGCAAAATCTCTATTCCCACCCCACTCCAGGGGAAGGTTATCGTTCTGACCCAGGCTACCTGAGACCGTAATTAAGCACACGCTTAGTCCAAACAACGCTCTTTTTATTTCAATGCTGGGAATTATGTGCATTCCCAGTCCCAAACAATCCCTCGAGATAAGCACCCACCTTTCTCTTCTTTGAATGGCTGCCAACAACCAAAGTGCCAAATGAACTGTAGAAAGCCAACCGGAGTACAAAGTCCACACAGAACTTCAAAGTTTAATCCAAACAGAGCGAACGACGTTGCTTCCTGCAAAGGCTCCTGTCCCTTTGCTCCTCCTTTATATCTTATGGGAGGGGCAATACCTCCCAGCCTTACTCCCGAGTCGCCCCTTTTGTCTTAGCTACTCTTGCCTTCTGGCAGCTCGGCTTGTTCCTTGTTCCTCTGCCTCGCTGCTGCCAGATTCTGGAGGCTCCGGAGTCAGCACACAATTCCCAGATGGCCCTGGCGCCATCTTTGTATCGGACACAGGACCATTGTCTGAGTCCTCCCCAGACTCCCAGACTAGCCCATGTTCTTCCCCACTGTCCGATTCTGCTGCCGTCTCCGCAGGCTGCCGATGGACCACAACAATTACTGCAAAGTCCCCATTCCCTCCCCACCCCACTAACCTTCTTTCCAGCTCCGTTCTCCTGTGCAGGGCAACAAAAGAAGACCCAGCCGATCAGCTGTGGGTGTGGCTTGGTGGGCGTGGTGTTCTGTGGGCGTGGCTTGGTGGGCATGGCAGGGGAAGTATACTGCAAAATCCCCCTTCCCTCCCCACCCCACTAACCTGCTTTCCAGCTCCGTTCTCCTGTGCAGGGCAACCAAAGGAGACCCAGCTGATCAGCTGGGACTCGATGGGAGGCAGAGAAGAGATGGGGTTGGCGGGGCCAGTCAGAGGCGGTTTTGGCCGGTTCTCCCGAACTACTCCAAATTTCTGCTACCGGTTCTCTAGAACCGGTCAGAACCGGCTGAATATCGCTTCTGCCTCACTCAATCCATCGGTTGCCTGACTCGCATTCAAACGAGTGCCCCGTTTTTTTTTTCCCGTTGAAAACCTGCTGTCGTCCCCCCCTCCCGCCATTCAAACAGCAGCGAGAGTGCCGAGAGCCCAGACCCGGTGTCCGCCGGAGTGCCGCCTTCGGAGCAGCCGGCCGTCATCCCCACCCAGGGGGATCTCTTGGGGGATCTGTTGAACCTTGATCTTGGGCCCCCGGTCAGCAGCCCTCCCGTTGCTACCTCGTCGGTGCAGATGGGAGCCGTCGATCTTCTTGGTGGGGGCTTGGATAGTCTGGTAAGTTCTCTTAAACACACACACACACACACACACACACACACGGTTGGTGGCCCACCAAATCCTGAGAAGCTTTTGCAAAAGAAAAAAATCGTTTGTTTTAAAAAAAAGGATCCAGAGGTTGCACATTTCTCTCAACTTACAAGAGAAGTCCCTGCAAGTGAAAATGTCATTGCAGTAAAATAATAATAATAATAATAATGCAGTTGAGTATTTTTTTTTCTTGCATAGAGAATCCCCCAGAGGCTGCCAGGCTTTTGAAAAGAAAAGAAAAATTCTGCAAATTTCTCTGAAAGTTCATAGTTTTCCATTCCATTCCATATATTCTATTATATTCCATTCTAATTTTATTCTATTCTTTTTCTATTTTCTATATCCTATTCTATTCTATTTCTATTCTATTCT